ATGGTAATTCATCAAGTTGAAATTGAAAACAATCACATGTTCTTTTGTTTAAGTCCACCAAGAAAGTTATTCCTTCTTCTTCAACTATAGAACGCCATGAATCAATAGGGAAGACCTTCAATGTTGAAAAATTATAAGTGAGTACATTATGTTAAAAAATGTTAAAATCATAATATAAACATAAAACATAATACTTACGTTCAAAGTAAATGCTAAATCTATTCTTTTCTTCAATTCCTCCTCTACCCAACAAGAAACATCATAAAATGTTCCTTCTGCTTTATTTCTTCTTTCATAAAACCAATGTTGTAGCTTCACTTGAATGAGATCCATCATTCTTAGCATAAGCAGCTCCCTTGCTTCTAATAGCACTGAATTCATTGACTCAACTATGTTTGTTGTGAGCATGTCATATCTTCGTCGTGGACTACAAGAACGTGCCCATCTTTTCGGTGGTTCTTCCATCAAGTAGTCATAAGTTTTCTTATCTGCATTTGCAATATCTGACATGTATATGTCAAATTCTTTACGCCTGTATACTCTTGTAGCACTTTGGAAAAGTTTTATGACCTCACTTTTCACCTTTCTTCGCTTTAGGTTCTGCTCCAAATGATAGATGCAAATCCCATGATGGCTTTCAGGATATACCTTTATAATTCCATTTGCAATAGCTTGATGCCTGTCTGATAAAAAAATCAAATTCTCACGGCTCCCAATTGCATTGCGAAGCTGACTAAAGTACCACTCATAGGAATTGTTGTTTTCAGATTCTGCTATTCCAAAGGCTAATGGGAAAATTTGGTTATTTGCATCTTTTGAAACTGAAATCATTAAAACACCACGATATTTTGACTTCAAAAAAGTCGCATCAATAGCAATCACTGGTCTACAATGATTCCAACCAGCTATCGATGATCCATATGCGTAAAACATATAAAGAAACCTGAAAATACAATATAAAACAAGGTTAAAATACCCGAAGTTTAGGACAGTCAGTCCTTAACTTACATTTACAAGTTATAAAGTTAAGGACATGCTGTCCTTAACTTTTATTTCAAAGTTCAAAACTTAAGGACTGAAAGTCCTTAACTTTTAATTACAAGTTCAAAACTTAAGGATAGGCAGTCCTCAACTTCTGGTTATAACTCAAAAGTTAACAAGGCTAAAGACAGCATGTCCTAAATTGTTTACCTGTTGTTGTCGTCTATCTTTATGTTAGTATAAGTTCCCTGGTTCTTACTTGTCATCATATACAAGTATGAACACAATAATTTATAATTTTCTTCGGGACTTCCTCTTATTAAAGCGGAAGCATGTTGAATAGTACGCCACGCCTTGTGATATCCAATGTCTAGTCCATGCAATTTTTGCATCTCTCCATGACAAAAGCTGGTGTAACTTCAAATCTTGGGTCCCGAAGATTATCGATAATGTAACCACTAATCAACTTTGAAGTAGCATGCCTTTGATCTGCTTTCCTAGTGTTAACAGAGCAGTCATGCTTTTTCTCAAGCTTTACTATCTTGAATAATGTTGAGTCTTTAATTCTGAAAGCACGCACACACCAACGACACCTATCATCATTGCATGTCAACGAATATCTTGTTGAGCTTGATCTAACAACTTTGAATTCCAAATGTCCTTTGATTGCTATATTGGAAAAATAGTTAATTATGCTCTTCTTCTTGTCAAATACTGATCCGACTTTTATTTTATCCAAAGAAGCATTTTCTCTTAATATCGTAGTTGGGAATTCTTTTTATTTCAAATTTGATCTTCGTCTAGTTATTTGAGTGCAGGTTTTGTCAGCAACTACTTCGATTACCGGTGCACTCTCTAAGACTTGAATACCCAAAGCTTGTTCGTTGCCAATCTCTATAATGGNTCAATCTCTATAATGCTTTGTCCTTCTACTTGAATAGAATCAAATGTTTGATGCACCTCTTCATTTAATGGTTGAGCTTCAACCATATCTACTTCAACTATCTGTTGGCATCGCTCTTGATTGTCATGTTGAGTTTTTGTGTTGGCATGTTCATTGCTTGTTGATGCAAAAACTCTTTCCGAAATATCAACTATGAAACGACAGCTCTTGAAGAGTGAATGAGTTTTTAGCAACTCTATACATGTGTGAAGATCTAAATCTTTGGATACAAGCATTCCTTTGCTTGTTCCAAGGTTGATATCAAACCATATCACTATTTCAAACTTTTCTCTATCCAATTCAATAAGCTCAAATATCTGTTTAACGAAATCTTCAAACTGAATTGACTCAGGTGCTAGGAAAAGCTTTGTTTGATGATCAAGATATTTATAGCCTTCAGTCCATCTACTATTAAAAGCAACTATTATGCATATTGTTTCCATCCTACAAGTCAAGAGAATGGGAAACAAAGGACATACGTTATAAAACAATCCTTGTAGAATTAAGAACAAGTGTACTGTAAGTGCAAGACCAAGATAAGGATTGCCTGTCCTTAACTTTTGAACTAGAAATTAAAACTTAAGGACTGCATGTCCTTAACTTTTGAACCAGAAATTAAAAGCTAAGGACTGCCTGTCCTTTAACATTTAAACATGTAATTAAAGTTAAGGACTGCCAGTCCTTAACATTTAAATATGGAATTAAAAGTTAAGGACTGTCATTCCTTAACTTTTGAACCAGAAATTAAAAGCTAAGGACTGCCTGTCCTTTAACATTTAAACATGGAATTAAAAGTTAAGGAATGCTAGTCCTTAACATTTAAACATGTATTTAAAAGTTAAGGACTGTCAGTCCTTAACATTTGAACCAGAAATTAAAACATACAATTCGAAACTCAAGCTACAGGACTTTGTATACAGAAGAACAACAACAAAGTGAAGGACATTTTGTCCTTAAGTTTTTTTATTCAATTTGCAAAATGAGGCCAGTAGAATCAAAGTTAAGGACATAGTGTTCTTATTTTTTTGAATTCAATTTGCAAAATGAAGACACTATGTCCGGAATACAGAATTATCATAGGAGGCGATGTCTATAAATTTATCAATCCAGAAATTCAAAAAAAATCAAATTCTTATCTAATATATAATCAAATCAATACAGATCTAAAAAAGTATAACTATAGCGAAATAAAAATCGATAGAAATACATGAAATTACAACTTACTGTTTATCTATGTCGTTTTTTTGGATTAGAATGCTGAATTTTTGAAATCGGGAAGAGAAATGGTGGTTCGTCCTCAGTTGATCGCCGCTGTGGTAACTACTGCTGCTGCTTGCTTCTTCTCTTTGTGTAACTGCTGCTTGTGTTGATAGCGTAAGTATAAGTTATACTAGAAGGGTATTTTCGTCCAATCAAGTATAAGTTTTTTAAAAAAGTGATTAAAATCTAAATACATTGAAAACAGTGACTTTTATTTTTTAGTGGCTATTTGTGTCGTTCGCCCGTTAAAAAACCTATATTCGCTTACCCCGTTACCCAAAAAAAGAGGGCTTAGACCTAGAGATATATCATAGGACCCTCCTCTTCCAAAAGGATAGAGCGTCGTTTTCCACCCAGAAACAAACCAGACCCCTCACTTCTTCGATTGAGCAGCGACCTTTCTTCTTCTTCTCTTTCGATCTCACTGACTTCTCACCCTCCATCATTGCACATCACACACACGAAAAGGGTAAAGAAAACATACTCAAATTCTGAATTTCAGATCCGAAACGATCCTAAACTCCCAAAACAGAGACAAAATCCATAAGGCAAAAAAAAAAAAATTAAATTAAAGCTGGTTTTGAATTCATTCGACTGTTGCATATCTTTGGGCCTTTGAAAGCTATTCGAACTTCTGCTCTTTTACTTCAATTTTCCGAAATTTCGAGTGGATTGGAGCTGTAAGAAGTGTTGTTCTGCTTATGAGCTGGGAATTTGACTTGTAGCTGCCTTTTCTGCCTTTATTCAGCAATCTTAAGCTCAATTCATTGTTGTCAAGGTATTTGGTCTTATCATTTTAGATTTGGTATTTGGATTTCCATGAATAAAAATATGTTGCTTTCACCTCCGAATTGATAGTTGGCCTTGATTTGTGCTCATGTTCTGTTAAATGTTAGTTTGATGGGTTATGAAATGGCAACTCCTATTCTCTATGAAATCTGGCATAATTTTGGAACTCTCATGTTAGTACAGTAAAGTTGAGTTGATCTGCTCCTATTATGTAGTGTATTATTCCAACAAATGGACTTAGTTTTTTTTTTTTTTTTTAAAAAGGAGCATCAAATACTTGAGGTTTGTTTGTGTTGGTTCGATTTTTATTTAATTTTGAGCAGAAATAACTAGAGTTTGTCAAGACTTTTCCCTTCAATTCTATCCCTCTCCAATTGCTTCTTATCTCCCAGAAAAGGAATAAGGAGAAATAGTTCGAAAAGGGGAGAGTGTATGATCAGATATGGCTAGATGGATGCACACATATTCATAAAAGCTCATAGAAGTCAATATGTAAATTTTTGTTATTTGGACGATGCTTTTAGTTTTATTAATTGGGGTTTATGTAACTTTGTCCCCATGTGAGCAAAGTTATATTTTAGGGATGTTATTGTTGTGTGCTGTTTCATTAGCAGTTCTATGTGAGAAAAGACCACTGAAGTTTGAAAAATTAAGTGGCATAGTTTGACAACTTCACTTAGATACTGATTTTCGTTGCTTTTAGTTTTGTTTTTTGCATGGAAATTATACATCAGTTTTTCTCTTGTTTGGATTCATATCTCAATTGTCATGGTCCTATAATTTTATAAATTCATTCTTAAGTATCTCCACTTATTTGTTAAATTCTGCATGATGGCGGTGGAAAGTTGTAATGGTATAATTTATCATGGTTGCTTAGTTATAAATAATAAAACAGCGACAATTTATGTTTCTGTATATATAGACCTGGTATTTCCCTTTTTATTTCTGCCTTGTTCAGATAATTCGGCATTAGAAACGTCTCAATTAGTATATCTATTGTACAAATTGGTTAATTTCTTGTGCTAAAGTTGTTCTCCACAAATCTATTCCATAATTAATGGCCTCACAATAATGTCAAATTAGTTTAGAAAAATCATGAACATCGTAGCTTGCTTTATGCGCGATTAATTAACTATCGTGACTATGGGTACGGTTCCCGTGACATAGTCATGATACATAATCCCCAATTTGGGTGACCCGATCATAACAACTTTGACTAATAATAATAAAATAAATATGTCGCAAATCGCAGGTGCATTTCATGTAGCGTGGTTAGCAATGTATTCCAAAACGGCAAGTGTATGACAATCGTAACTTGTTCAAGAAATAAATTCCATAAATCCTAAAAAGTGATTTTAAATAAATAAAAGCGGTTATAAAGTTAAAAATGCACAATAAGTTTAAAACATGTAGTAAATCAGATAATTAGGCCAATTATTAATAGTTAATCGATCGTACTCGAACCACGGAACCCGGGAATGCCTAACACCTTCTTCCGGGTTAACAGAATTTCATACCTAGTTTTTCTGGTTTCGCAGACTTTTAAATAAAGTCTATTTTCCTCGATTTGGGATTTTTAAAATAAATTGGTGACTTGGGACACCATAAATTATTCCAAGTGGCGACTCTAAAATTAAATTAAATAATCCCATTTCGATTTATGTCACTTTAATTGGAAAAACTCCTTTATATCCCCCTTTCGGGTGTAAAAGGGAGGTGTGACAACTCTGACGACTCTGCTGGGGATCATAACCTAGAACTTTTCGTTCAGGGTTCAAGAATTTGAGCTTAGAATAACTGTTATACTTGGCTTTATTTATTATCTGATTTTTACATGTTTGAGCCTAATGTGCTAAATGTCACTTTTTACCGCTTTGATGTTGTTTAAACTGTATATAAATTGTTACCAAACCCTTCTTCTCTCTGAGTCTTCTAAATCTTCTGGGAAGTGCGCGCTGGCGTGACTTTTTTTCCGTTAAAGTCACACCCTAATTTAGAACGAGGATCAGATCAGTTACAAAGCCGGATGGCCTTTTGGTTACTGGTACGTTCCCCCCTCCCCCTCCCGCTCGAGTTGTCCTCTCGGGTAAGCCAGGTCTAGAACAATACACCCAGGTTTTAACCCTAGAATAACATAGCCTCATGCCGGATCCTTAGTAGGAACGCTTGTTTGCATCACGTGCATTTGACTTTGGGAACTCAACACAAGGGTTGGGTCCGTCTAGGATAGGTGTACCCAAAAATCAAAAGACCATCCTGATGCATTTTTACGTGCTACTTGAACAATTATTTGCTTCGGTTTGCATGTTGACAAGTTTCTAGGATAGGAAAGGAAAATCAAGAAAAACCAAAATTGAGGTG